GAGGTTCCCATTTTTTTTATTTAACTGAGGGCAGTTTTCTAACCAAACATTTTTTAAGGAAAACTGGTTTATGGTCCAATGTATTTTCCCCTTTCCAATATGCCTATCTCAGTTGTTGATTCTCTTACATTTACTTCCCAACTTATTTTCACTTCTCCATTTAGCAAATGGGGTTTGTAATCCTGAAATACAAATGACTTTGTCTTGCATAGTCCCTGGAGGTCTCTACTTAAAACTGTGTTCAAAGGACACATTCACACTGAAGCATAAAGCAACCACATGTGCTGGATTTACACAACGGAGAACTAGTCGGTTTACCCATCACTCATTGTACCAATCCATGTGAAAAATACAAAAATGCATCTTTCGTTGGGGTGCGATTATTACTTCTTTTTCCCCCAATAACTCAAGACTCAGATTAAGACAGCCATGGCACAGAAAACTCAAAAGAGGAAAAACAGGCAACCCAGAATCGGACTAACCAAAAAGAGATTTACATCTCCGTGCATCTCATTCTAGTCCAAGGACTAACGCGGAGAAATTAAATCAATCTTACCCAACCTGATGATCTCCACTTATCTTATACTGCAATGCCACATTCCCTGCACAGCATAATTATGGAAAATGGGAGTTGAAAGAAACCCAACGCTCCTGAAAGGCGTCAGGAAAGCCGAGTCATAATCCCAGACAGGGAGTCTCTCCTCCCAGCGTTAAAGCTCTCCGGGGCGGAAGACACAGAAAGAAATCACAGAGAAGGGAGCGAGCACGCAGAAAGCGCTCGCCCGGCGCTCTGCAATCCGCGAAGGCGAGCGCTCCCCGCCGCTTGCCGACCCTTTTCTGACTCAACTTCCTGGGCGCGATGCCCCCCGCCTGTCGAGGGATCTGCTCCTCCTCGCCTCGCCTGTTACTAGGCTGACTCACTTGGCCGTCAGAAGCTTTTTCGGATGCTCCGGAGGACGTACTACTCAGGTAGTGCAGCCGCCGAAGGGGGACAATGCGAACTGGACTCTTAAACAGCTGCCTTAGCAGTGCCCCGCCTCCCTCCAGGTGAAAGGAGAAAACGGCGAGCGACCTTGCCAAAAGCTCAGCCAGCAATACTGTACAGTACTTACTTCCCCACGGGGAAGAAAATCATGTGTCTCAGCTCCACCCTTCCCACTTGGCGGCGGCGGCGGCGGCGGGGCGGCTCTTGCAGCAAACCCCGGGCAGAAAGCGAAGGCGATACCAAGCTCAGCGGGCGCCGGGCGGGGGTGGCGGAAGGCGTTTGGCGGCGCTTGCCTATGCCCAGGCAGCTGCGCTTATGAGAAGAGGGAAGATGGTCATTTGAGGGCACCAGCCGCCTGCTGTACATTGCAGACTAGGTGGAAAATCGTAGCTACTCGGTGGTTTGTTCGGAAAACAACAGTAGGGAAGTTTCTTGTAGTTGTCAAGACGCCTTAGAACTGACTTGCTCAATTACACGGACACAACCCTGCGGCTTTGCTTCCTCATTAAATTTACTGCTGGGGAATCTCCTGGCGATCTCCTATCCTAGCGCCACCAAGTGCTGACCCTGGTTTAATTCCCTAGAGATGAATCAAGATCTGAGATCTCGGTAGATGTTAGCTCATTGAGGTAATCCAGACAAGAAGCACAACGAATCGGACTTTACCTGTTGATTGTCCTACGTGTTCTGCTGTCCAGGTGCTGTTTTTTTATCAGCCTGGTGTGACTTGGTGTCTTCTGAAGCTGATATTCCATAGGTTCCATAGGAGCAGCTTCTTCAGATTCAAAATCTGAGTTATGAGCCTGGGTCATGACCCTTTTTCCAGCACTAGCACACTGTCTGCATAGTTTAAATCATTTGTTTCTGTATCTTTAAAGGCTTTAGAGAAGCAGGATAGAAAGAGTACTGTGATTTCTTTTAACTTTGGTGATGGAGAAGACTTATGAGAATATTGTGGACAGCCAAAAAAATCAACAAATGGATCATTGAACAAATCAATGAAAAGTTCTCACTTATAAATGACCATAAATTATTCTATTTCAGACAAAGTATGTGAAGACACAACTCTCTGGAAAAGGCTTTAATGCTGGGAAAGTAGAAACAAAAATAAAGGACAACCAGGAGCAAAGTGGATGGACTTGATGATAATGGCAATGAGTGCACCATTGGGAAACCTAAAGGAAGAGATTAGGGATAGACCAGGGGTGAAATGCTCCCGGTTCGGACCGGATCACCTGATTGGTTCTGACTGGATCACCTGATCGGGTAGTGATGGTGGCAAGTGGTTTGGAGAACCAGTAACAAAAATTCCTGCCCCCCTCCCATGCCCAGCTGAGCCGCGTGATCATCAGAAACTTTTTTTTTTACTTTTAATAGCATTTTTTCTATAACCTCTTTGGCCACTCCCACCCAGTCACACATTACCACCACCACCCACCAAGCCACGCCCACAGAACCGGTAGTAACAAATTTTACATTTCACCACTGGGATAGACTGTTACCCAGAAAAGCTATCTGTGAAAGCTAGGAGTCAAAAATCATGTAAATAAATAATAAATTTGAATACCACCTAGTGAAGTCCTAGAACAATGCTTAATTATTAAATAACCAGAGAGAAAGGATGATTGGACACACCCTAACACACTTTTAAAGACTGAAAACTTCTCTGAAAGAGATTCTTTCTTTCTTTTTTTTGGAAGAAGAATCAGCTGTCAGGTAGCCCTTTGACCAAAATATTTGGTTTGCATTTGAAAGTAAATAATCAAGAAACATAACAATGTTTATAATGTTAAATGCTGGCAAAAGATTAAAAAAGAGGAATCCATATCTTGCTTAGGATCAATTGCAATCATTAAAATAAATGTATTATGCAAAGTAAATAAACTATTTCAAATGGCATCAATTATAATTTCTGAGATAATTCTACACAGATGGCAAGAATCTCTCAGTAACTTCATATGGAGTGTGACTAGTGTTAAAGAGACTAGTGTTAAGCAAAAATTTCTACAAGATTCTAAAGAAATTTCAATATTAAGTTATTTAGCTTAAGACCAAAACATTTATTACATAACAAGTATCTTGATATAATGTATGCTCTTCCTTCATCTCATCATTTTCAATGTTATCAATGAGAAAGCCAAATAATCATAATACTTGTAACTTTAATATTTTAAACTGTAACTAGTATAGATAGAATATCCTCTCTTGTATGGATATAATTTTTTCTTTTTTTTTTCTTTTTCTTTCCTCTTTTCTATACTTATTAGATTTTTATCCCACTTTTATATGTTTTTATATATATTTATATATTTCATGCTTATAGACGACCATCTCCCTCAGTGAGAGACTCTGGGCAATGTACAGTATAAATATATTCATCACTTTTATAGCAATAGCACTTAAACATTCCTAATACTCCTTCCTTTTCTTTACCCCAAAGCATGAGGTAGGTTGGGCTGAGAAAGGGACTTATTCAAAGTCACTCAGCCAGCTTTTATGCCCTGAAAGGTAGCACGTGGAGCATTTCTGCAGGCACGCAAGCCATCACCCTAGGTCAGCTCCACTGCATATGCATGCACGCTTCCCACCAGCCAGCTAATTTTTGGGTCTCTGCCGCACATGCGGGAGATGCGTGCGCATGCCCATGCCAGCCTGCCTGTCCCAGGAGTTTCCACGCAACCTGTTTTGGATGGCAGGTAAGTACAGGGCTCGCACGGAGGCTCTGGGAGGACGAAAAATGGGCCTACTGGAAGTCTGGAAACATGCCATTTCTGGCGTCTGGAGGGCCAGGGGAGGCCGTTTTCGCCCACCCGGAGGCTCCAGGAAAGCCTCCAGAGCTTGTGGAGGATGAAAAACAGGCCTACCAGAAGTCCAGGAATGGGCCGTTTCCGGCCTCTGGAGGGCTGGGGGAGGCCGTTTTCACCCTCCTGGAGGCTCCAGGAAAGCCTCTGGAGCCTGGGGAGGGCGAAAAATGGGCCCACCAGAAGTCTGGAAACGGGCCGTTTCCGGCCTCCGGAGGCTTCAGGGTGGTCTGCTAGGCCCAAAACAGGGCACAGGGGGTTGCGTGCTTGCACAGGGGATGGGGGAGCATTGGAGGAGAGGTTTTCACACGCACGGGGCAGGGTGTGCATGGGGAAGCATTGCATTATGGGTGTGGGCATACGTGCTATCGCGCGCATGTGTTTTTGGCACCCAAGAAAAAAAGGTTAGCCATCACTGCCCTAGGACCTAGAAGATACTAGAACTTACAGTCTCCTGGTTTCTGCGCCAGCACCTTCACCACTATACAAGACCGACTTTATTATCTACAGTACATTCAATAGGTAACCAAAAAGAAGAGGAAGAGGAAGCAGAACAACAGATGGAAGAGGAAGAAGGAGAAGGAAGAAGAAATCTTCCTTCTGGTGGTTGTACCTTCCTTCTATTGGTGGTTGTACCAATAGTAATAGGAGCCCTTGGAGAAATCTCCAAAGGGTTGCCTAGATACTTGGAAATTTTGAATTTATCAGAACTGAATATTCTGATTTTGCAACTTAGAACCCTACTCAGAACTGCATATATACTCAGACACTACACTAACATCTCTTAGCTCTTTGGTTAGTACTTGGAACTGTTAGGTTTTTACCAGTCCCAGACTATGAATCAAATTGAAGATTAAATCTCAAAGAAGAAGAACAACAACAACCATTGGCATTGACAAATTTGCCATCAGTCAATTGCAAAAGGCGGCTTTACTCGGAACAGCTTCCATCCTGCAACAATATCTGGAACCCCATCAGACATCCACATCTGCCTATCCTAGGTCCTTGGAAAGGATTCGATAGGTAGACAAAAATGCCAAACCCAGTCTGAATATCTGGCTGACTGTGCGACGAACCATAATAATAAAGTTGTGGTTCCAAATTGAGACCAGATATTCTAGTCTGGCTATTGTAAATGAAAAACAACAACCACATCATAAAGAAAAGTTGCACAATAAACATCAGATCTGGTTTCAATTTCAGGTAAACAGAAGTTTGTAGTGATTGTTACTCAGTTTTATTAAAGGTCATTAATGATGGGTGCATAAGTGCCTTCAAGAAGCTAAAGGGGGAAACAACCGCTTGGACTGGATGTAGAGCAGGGGTGTTGAGTGCAGCTGCAGGCATGGCTGCCTGGAGTACCCACCATGAAAGAAATGGAGAGGCAGAGCTAACAGCAGGATCAGAAGCAGGACTTTGGCTGAGGCCCACAGCAGCCTCCAAGCAGCCTGGAGAGTTGGACGTGGGAAAGAGCTGCACAAAAAAAGGAAAGAATGACATGGCACAAGAACAGGATCAAATACAGCTGATGGTTCCTGGTGGAACAATGAAAAGGTGGATTTACTTTGTCTTCATTTTTTTAAACAAGTCATTGATTTAATATTGGAATAATGCTAAGAAGGCACCATTTCTTTTTGTTAACCAGGTGAAATTGAAAAGAGTCATCACTTTCTTCTAAATTATAGCCAATGGATAGAAAAGATGGTAAAGCCATAGTATTGTCTTTTTTTTTTAATCAATTCAGGAGAAGTTTAAAAGGGGGGTGGGGGTGGGATCACCAATCAGAATAACAGGCCACAATCATAGCCAAAGCAGTCGAAGGAACTGAAATCCAGAATGGGATTTCTTAAACTAGCTTTATTTCCATCTGGTTTATTCATGGGAGATTACTAGCTTAAAGCTAAAGTATAGAAAACACCTAACACAATATTGGGGAGAAAACAGTTTAGATTAAGTAAATTTTACACATCATGCAATTCAGTTTTTGGTTTTCTACTAATCTGGTTAAAGCTTGTGTGAATACAGCCAATGCCCTTTCCTTTTTTTCCATTTCCCCCATCTCCAACTCTTCTGCTTTGCGTCTACCTATTTTACAGTACCTGCATGTTTATTTTTTAGACTTATATGCCACCAAACTTGCCAAGGAAACTCTAGGCAGCTTACAGTCAGATAATTAAAATATTGTACAAATGTTAAAATGTTAACAATCATCTCTGATAGTCCATTGGTCACTTACATGGATGAGCATTTGCCTTTGGAAGTACTTCTGTATAGTTCCAGACTTGGAAGTCTCTTCTGAGAGAATAGGAAAAACAAAATGTGACATGCAAGAATCCCACTAAGCAATTGTTAAGAACATTGTGTGCTTTATTTCAAAGAACAGAGCATGTAGGTAGTCCTCAATTTATAACCATTTTTTAACAACACATCAAAGTTACGATTGCCATAGAAAAAGTGGCAATCCATCCTTAGAATTATAATAGTCTCATTACTCCCACAATTACATGATTGCAATTTGGGCACTGGGTTACCGCTTGCATTTACATTTGTTGTACAGTCTTGCGATCACGATCATGTTTTGCAACTTTCCCAGCAGGCTTCTGACAAGCAAAGTCAATTGGGGAAGCTGGATTCATTTAATGACTGCATATTTCACTTAATGATCACAATTCAAAAATTGTAAAATCGGGTCCAGTCACATGGTGACTCAATGACTGCATTGCTTGCAGTCCCAATTGTGGTCATAAATTGAGGGCTACCTGTAGTGGAGTGCAAATAAAGAGTATCCTTTGACAGTTTCTTTCCCCTTTAAGAAGCAAGAATCAAACAGAAAAAAAGTGGCAAAGATGAAGGCCCTCCAAAGATAGGATTTGCAGGTGTCCTGGGCTGGTTCTACAGCTGTGTGATCAAGTGCAATTGCCAGTCTTGTGGACGTAGAATGGGACAACTCGCAGTGGCCAATTTGTCAGGGCCGACTTGCGGCCAACTCGCCATGGCTAACTCACCATGGGCTAACTCAACAATTCAATTTAATTATTTAAAATAATGTTTAAACATATTTTAATTTTTGTCATTCACACTTCATTTTGTCCTTCCTTTTGCATCCTTTCTTTAATTATTCTGTTCCACCATTTCTTTGATGTTAATGTAACTCTTGTCCCATGATAAGTTATCCTGCGGAAAGTTGGCCATGGGGAGCTGGTTGTGGCAAATTGTCCTAGGCCCTTTTGGACAAGTATTAACTTCCAGCTCTGCTCCAACGTACTTAAAATCATTGCAACCCCCGTCTATAGTGTGCATGTCAGAATGTCAGGGTTCCCATTGATACAGACTCTGGCTTTATCCCATTGGCTCTTCACTCTTGAAATCATGATCCTGTGCCATCATTTTTTTAAAAAACAAGAAAGATGGCAGCATTACAGCCCCTTTCATACTGACTGGTCAGAGGAAAATACCAAAGTATCTCAAAGCAGGGGACTAGTTGGAGAAGGCACTGGCCAACTCATCCAGAATTTTGTTTTTGGAAGAGGATGGCATTAAGAACAATTGCAACCACACAACCACATACTTCATACCATCTGGTCACACACTTGTTCCTCCCAAAGAAAGCCCCCTGCCGAGGTCATCATTTCTCCAAACAGTGCATCTTTCTGCAAACTAAAATAGAACACAGTAGTAAAAAGGCAGGCTATGTTTTCCCTATGCATAACAAGCTTAGCAGAACAGGAGAGAATGCAACTTTGGAGAGAATATTTTGTGATTTGTAACTCTGTAACCTATTCTTGCTTTACCTAATAGGAAAATATGAACTTCCCTTCTAGGTCTTTTAAGATGCTGATTAAACTAAAGTTTGAAGTCTCCAAAAATATCTCCTCTCTTATGTATGCATGCATACACACACAAAAACATAATGTTTCTTGCAAATAAATGCAATTCCACTGTCAAATATAGGAAACTCCAATACTAATTCCATCACAGGATGTTTTCAATGAGAACATGTGCTAAATCTAAAAAAATTATGGGAATCTCTCTCTGCTTTTGTTTATTTCAAGCCTACATTCCCAAGGCCCGTTTGTTGAGATACCCTCAAATGGATATTATTGCTATTCCTGTTTTACAGATGAGGCACTAAATCCAAGAAATTGTGACCATACTATTTTTGGCCAAGATTTGGTCTAAGTCTTTTATGCTCAGCTCATTAATTGATCATCATAGCCAACTAAGAGGATTGATTAGGTCATCCTTACAGTGCTATTTCCTGTTGAACTTCCACCACATTGTCTTCCAAGAAGGTGATGTGTCGGTGCAGCTCCTTCATTGATTTAGAAAGAAAACAATATTGCTTTAGGCTTTCTTTTTTTTTATCTTAAGTTTTTACACTAGTTCAGCTAGGCTTCAACTCTCTTGAAAACCCTAAGATGGCAGGATACGGGAAGAGAGATTAATTTGAAGATCTCTAATCCTTGATATTTTATATTGGATTCATTATATGCCATCTAATTCTAATTGAAGATAATCTAAACCTGAAATCAAGCATAAGAGAGGATTTTTCTAGGAATTTGGCACACACAATTTTCATCATAATCTTCAACTTTTATCTATTGTTTCAGCACTTAGATTGATGTGGCAGCTATAGGTAGTCCGAAACTTATGGTCTCACTTCGGACCAGGATTGCTGTCATAATCACTGTGGTCATAAAGCAAGATGTCACATGACCACATCAACATATGATGGCAATCCCAGCACTCCCCATTACAGTCATTAAACAGGAATTGCAGTTTTTTTATGCAACTACCCACTCCAAGCCATTCCAGGTTTGGTCCCTCCCACCCCCAAGCCTCAGTAAGATAAGGGACAGGCTCCAACTCCCAACACCGTTGATCCCCCCCCCAACTGTATTTTGGCCATCCTGCACCCTGTGTTGAGAGGTGGCAAGTGGCCCCAGAAATGTGTGACTGGAGCTGCTAGCCATGTCCTGGGAAGCCTCAGTCACCAGAGTCTGTCCCAGCAAGCATTTGCTTGCCCAGCTGCACCAACCTTTCACCTTTTGCACCCAGCCATCACAGCTGAAGCAGAAGCATTTCAATGCCTTTGCTGTTTCCTTTTCAGACCTTTGGTCACTTACGCTACCTTGTGTGCCCCAGCTTCTCTGGTTTCCTACACATGGATCCCACACCTCCCCTAACAGCACCAAGCCATAGTCTCTATGAAGCCCCAACAAGCTTTTGTTCACCCAGTTGCCTTCTCTCCCAGTTTCCTGCACCAACCTTCTACCTTCTGCATCAAGCCAAAGCAGAAGCGCCTATCTTTGCTGGGGGGTTTTTGGACCACACTTCTCCAGTGTTCATTTTCTAAGTCTATGTCTTATTATTAGAAGACAGTGCAGTGCCTCATTTGTGTTCACTTTTACTTTGTGATTCCCTTTGATCCTGCATGGATTCTGTTAGCTTCATATATGTGACATTTCTGTTGCAGGCAACAAAGTTTGGGCCTAAAGGGAGTCATACCTGGCTCTTCAGAGACAGCCCTTGGATTACTGTGCTCAGTTTCTCAATATGCTGCTGTTTCTAAAATGCCAAAAATCAGAAGACTTTTATTTTATTCCTATGTAGAAAAAAAATGAGCCATGCATACTTTGAGGGCATGAACTTGGAGGTGCTTCCATGCTAAAAACTCATAGTATTAATATATAATTACTCTTCTAGAAGCTACAGGGAGAATTGCAATTGCTTTGTGAACAGGCTTGTATTATACTTCTTTAACGTTAATATACGGTATTATACAAAACTAAAATATTTAGCTAACCACTAACCAGTTTGCTAAAATATATAACTGAAAAGTGTAGGTTTTGAAATTATATTAACATGTATTTATGTTCTATTATTCTTTCATCAAAGTGGTATTTTGGTATTTTGGGAATCGTAGAATCTTTGAGTTGGAAGGGACTTTAGAAATTATATAGTCCAGCCCTCTGCCCAGTGCAGGTTCCCCTAGAAATGTCACTGACACTGACTGTCCAGCCTCTGCTTAACCACTTCTTGTAAAAAAGAACTCAACCACATCATGGCAGCTTGTTCCATACAGTGAGGAGGTTGATCAGATATTAGGTGAAGAAAGGCTTCACGCAGTCTTTCTTGGGTTTGAAGGACAGTGCATAATGAACAGTGAACACAGGGGAGGAAGGTACGTATTGTTTATTTCATAATTCTAGAATTCAGAATGATCTGGTGAGCCTGAATGTTGAAGATGGAGAGGAAATCAGAAGATAAGGCAGTGATAGTTACGAACTTGGACTGCTTTGAATGAATTTGAGACAACTTCAGAGGAGCTGGGGCGGCTGGGCTGATACTAGCAATTAGTTGTAATGGCTGTATAGTGTATAAGTATGGGATGCAGTAGGCCACCCAGTGCCTATTTCTGGGAAAAAGCATTGGAAGAAACTATTACATTAATATTTGGGGACTTCCCAGAAGCATCTGGCTGAGCTTTGTGGAAAATTAAAATTATGTACTATCAGAGCCTTTGTCTCTAATTCTTATATTCAATATTTCCATAATGCTGCTTTTATTATGAATAAATGGACCTTATAGTCTTAGAAGCTGCTTCTAAGCAATGACGTATCTCTCAAATTAAAGTATAACTGGAAGGATCCAGGCAGTAGCAGCTGAGATAGCTACTGAACAATAACCCTGTCTGCTGAATAATATATATAGGTTGTGAACTTTGACAAAATTGGCTATTATAGAGACCTGAAAAAAAATCACCCTGCTTTGACTCACTTTTCTCAGAGACCCTTGAATACTTTAGTTTGCTATAAAAAACACAGGAGCTTTGAAACCAAAAATATAATTGATTTACCTGCCTGATCCTGTCATACATTGTCTGCCACTGAGCTTCCCATTCAAACAAGTGCCTCTATGTTGGTGGAGAAAAAATTATAATAATATAGTTGCAGCAACTTCCAGTCTTCAAATGCAAAGACACAGTCACAACTATATCTTGAGTATCCAAGATTATTTCTGTCCCAAACCTGGGACAATTGTGGAGCTCTAGTTTCAATACAGTAGTTCTCTTTTGTCTTCCACAAGTGAGTAAACTGGTGAGAAACTATATTCTCAGAACCGCAAGAATGCATTCAATTTCTTCACACATGAAAACTTGGACATATTTTTTTCCCTAGTAGCTCTAATTGCCCTACTAAATACTGTACTTTGCAAAACAAAAATGTTCCACCTCAACAACACATTTTAATGTATTCTACTTCAGTGCTTCACCCTACTTCTTAAAGCACTGAGATGCACATCTCTGGCACTTGATTGACAACTCATACCAAAGGAAATACCCAGGGACTACATTCTTGAAGAGCAGCAAAACAGGGTAGCCTCTCCAGTGCATAGAAGCAGGGGCTTTGCAGGTTTACTTCAAAGCTTAATCAGAAAGAGGTGGCCTTTAAACTTATATTCCTAGTAGGGACATTTTCCATTATTATACTTTGGGAAACAGAAGGGAACCAACTATGGGCACAATATTGCTGCTCAGAGGACTCTTCCATGCTCAAGAAAGCTCATTCTTTTCTCCCCATGAGGAAACATACAGAGATCTCCTATCTCCATTCAGATTTTTCCCACTTCCTGGAAAAGAATAAAAGAGGAATTAGCAGACTTCTTATTTCCCATGCTGGTCACTGCCCAACAGCTACAGCATCTGGTTGTAGGGAATGGGGCAGCAGTAGAGTACTATTAGTTTAATAACCTGCTGCATATGAAAATCTTACCTCGTCTTAATAAATCTAGCAGCTGTAGCATGTGGCATAATAAATAAACACATAAGGAGGAATAAAAGCTAAACAAATATATGTGGATCCTAAAGGAAGAACATTAATGGTGGAAATAAAGAGAGGGTTTTTATCAATTTTGTTAGTAGTTATTTATGCGCCTAACAAAAACCAGGGGGATTATTATAAAAAACTACACAAAAAGATAATTACGATAGGCCACAGGAATATTTGTATCATGGGCAATTATAATGGGATAATACTATAGAAGTTAAAAAAGATTACACCAGCAGTAAAGACAATAAGAAGAAAAGAAATACACTACCCAAAACATTTTTTAATATGGCAGAGGAACTGAATTTAATAGATATATGGAGAACTTTTCATCCTAAAGAAAATAGATACACTTTTTATTCTAATCCCCATGCATCTTGGTCCAGAATAGACATGTTATGAATGAACAAAGAATTAGGACTAAAAATAGAAAAAATTGAGATTTCCCCCCCAAACTCGTGGGCAGATAATAACCCCCTTGAGGTAACATGGAAAGGCCCCAAAAAAAGAACTAAAAGATGGGTGCTAAATCCATGAACATTAAAAGAAAAAATGTATGTAGAAAGGATAATGAAAGAATTAAGATTATTTTTTAAAGAAAATAAAAAACAGCATACCTCTTTAACTAATTTATGGGATACTATGAAAGCCTATATAAGGGGAATAACAATAGTCTATAACGCAAAGAAAAACAAGGAAAATGGGAAATCCACAATACTCTTCTGGAAGAAATTGGTAATTTGGAAAAGAGATTCCAAATAAAAACAGGAGACGAATAAATCAAAGAGAAGCTGACCCTACTGAGACATAAGTTAAATTTATCAGAGCAAGATGAAATCACAAAAAACCTAAAACACTCTAAACAATTCCATTTTGAACATGCCAATAAGACTGGAAGGTGGTTGGCCTACAAATTGAAAAAAGAAAGAGAAGCCCAGATTATTCAACAATTGGAAGATGTGATGGGGAACATTCAGAATAACAAGGAAGAGAAAAAGAAAATAGCACAAGGTTACTACACAGATCTTTATAATAAAGAAAATATATCAATGGAGAAGATCAACAATTACTTAAGGGAAAAAGAGATTATACCGTTAGGGGAGGATGAAAGAGAACTGTTGAATAAAGAAATAACAGTAGAAGAATTAAGAGCGGCAATCTCGAGACTCAAAAATAATAAAACACCAGGTCCGGATGGTCTCCCAGGAGAAATTTATAAAAAATTAGGTGAAATTATAGAACCAACATTATTGGAGATCTGTAATGAAGCATTATTTGAGGTGAAGATACCAGAATCGTGGAGGGAAGCATATATTACACTACTCCCGAAAGAAAGTACAGATAAAAGTCAGATTAAAAACTACAGACCGATATCCCTTTTAAATGTTGATTACAAAATATTTATGAACATAATTGCAGAAAGGCTGAAAAAAATATTAAACGCAACTATACATTCAGATCAAAATGGTTTCTTCCTGGGCAGACAAATAAGAAGCAATACTAGAATAATCGTAGACACCCTGGAATACTATGAAGCCCATCCAGAAAAACAAGTGGCTCTTGTTTTTCTGGATGCCCAAAAAGCCTTCGATAATCTGAATTGGCAATTTATGACTAGTCAAATTAAATTAATGAAATTTGGAATTAAATTCGAGAACATGATAGAGGCAATATATAAATCACAAGGGGCAAAGGTAATAGTGAATGGAGATACTACAAACACTTTTCAGATAACAAAAGGGGTACGACAAGGGTGTCCGCTGTCACCATTATTATTTATTTTAACATTAGAAACCCTATTAAATAGAATTAGAACAAATTGTGAGATAAAAGGATCAAAGATTAGAAGAGAGAAATATAAGGCACAGGCCTTTGCAGATGATGTGGCATTTATTATTGAGGAACCTCTGGAATCTGGCCCAATTTTATTGCAAGAAATAGGAATGTATGGGGAAGTAGCTGGATTTAAAATCAATAAGGGGAAAACTAAACTGCTGGTCAAAAATTTAACAATAACTCAGAAAAAAGAATTAGAAAAGGAATTAGATTTACAAATCGTTAAAAAAATTAAATACCTAGGGATTTGGCTATTAGCGAGATGCTCATCTCTAAAAGAAGATAATTATGTGGCCTTGGTCCAAAAAATAAAAAGGGATCTGGAAAAATGGGGGAGATTACAAATATCACTTTTAGGCAGGATATCATCTATTAAGATGAACATCCTGTCTAAATATTTATTTCAAACGATACCGATTCCATTAGATAATTTTTTTTTTACAGAACTTAATAAAATTACCACTAAATTTGTCTGGGCGGGGAAAAAAGCAAGGTTAAATTATGATCGTTACAGGATAGTAGATGTAGGGGTGGTTTCGGTCTTCCGGCATGGGAAATATACCATATGGCTGCCACTCTAGTCTGGATAAGAGATTTTAAGGGATAAAAGAATCTTAACCTTGGAAGGACATGACCTACAAAGAGGGTGGCATGCTTTTATATGGGACAAAAAGAATAAGACACAAACATATGTTTTTAGAGATAAGATTAAAGAAGCACTAATACGAGTATGGGAAGAAGTAAGGAGGAAGCAGTATTTGAAAATCCCAAGCTGGTTATCAACCATGGAAGCCATGATCCATCCCAATACAGTAGAGATTAGTAAAATGATTAGATTAAAAAAAAATTAGACAAGCATGGAAAACTCAAAAGTAATCAGGTTTTAAAAGAGCAGGGAATATCTATCAATTGGTGGCCATATTTACAAATACAGTCCAGATACAAGAATGATATGGAAGAATTTGGTATTGAGTTAGAATTAAATAAATTAGATAAATTATTGATGGGCCCGGAAAGAAAATTAATATCTAGACTATATAATTACTTATTAGAATTTGATAGAGCAGAGGAAGTGGTAAAAGAACCAACGATCGCATGGGCCAAAAATATAGGGCACAATATAAATTTAGATGAATGGGAATTTATTTGGAATAAAAACTATAAATTAATAAAATCGGCAGCATACAAGGAAAATCAATATAAAATGCTATATCGGTGGCATTTAGCACCTGCAAGATTGGCGAAAATATATCCGAACTTAAGCCCTAAGTGTTGGAAATGTAATCATCACCAAGGTACCTTTTTTCATATGTTGTGGCTATGTCCCGAAGCGAAGAGGTATTGGAGGAAAATACAACATTGGTTTCAAGAATTAATTAACAGTAAAATCAAATTAATCCCAGAAACTTTTTCCTGGGTGTACTAAAAACTAAATATGATAAAATAATAAGATATTTGATTTTACATATACTTACAGCAGTGAGAATAGCTTATGCACAATATTGGAAAGGAAATAATGTACCACCAGAGGGATTAATTATTCAAAAAATATTCAAACGTGCCGAAATGAACAAATTAACTTTAGAATTAAAAGAAAGAGAGGATTCAGAATACTATGCGGTGTGGGATAAATGGTATAGGTGGATTGATAACCGAAATAAAAATAGATAATGTTTAGAAGAATGTTGTATATATATATATGCATATATATATATATATATATATATATATATATATATATATATATATTCTTACTTCTTCGTAGGGTTTATGTGTGTTTTTCCTCTAGCCAGGTTTCTCCTACGTAACCAAGGTTTTTCTGCAGCCCTAGCTCAGTAGAATCACATCCACTAGATTCTGGGCTTTTTTCTTTTCTGGCAGCCAGCAAGTTTTTCTGCCAGGTAGGAGACTTATATAGATCTATTTCCAGCTCCTTTGCTTTCATCAGTAAGCCACACCCACATCTTATGTATCCTCCCTGTAAAGGTATAGTATCTATTTTCTTACTTCTTCGTAGGGTTTATGTGTGTTTTTAAAGGTATAGATACTATACCTTTACAGGGAGGATACATTAGATGTGGGTGTGGCTTACTGATGAAAGCAAACGAGCTGGAAATAGATCTATATAAGTCTCCCACCTGGCAGAAAAACTTGCTGGCTGCCAGAAAAGAAAAAAGCCTCTAGGCTTTTTTTCTGGCAGCCAGCAAACACTCTGCTGCCCATTGGGAGACTTAGGAGACTAAGATAGATCTATTTCGGACTTATAAGTCCTCATCAGTTAGCCAAACCCTCATCCCATGTATCCTCCCTGTAAAGGTACAGTATTTGTTTTCTTTCCTTTTCATAGGCTTTATGTGTATTTCTCTTTAGCCAGGTGCAAAGTGGATCTTGTGAAAGAGAAGAGACAGTTACTCAAAGAAGCAGAACTGTATTTAGTAGGTAACTCTGTGTGTGTGTGTGTGTGTGTGTGTGTGTGTGTGTGTGTGTGCATAAAATAAGTACACAAGATAACTAATCAACTAATAGAATTTCTATTACACTACTACCAAATTCTGTGATCAGTTTTACATTAATTGTATTGATTTCCTAATCTAGTAGGTCCTTATGACAAATATATAAAGCATGTGAAAGTTACCTTCAGTTCATTGCCTTCTGATCTGAGTTCCTTCAGAACATCTTTGTTGGACTGCTCATCCAGCTGTTGCTTGAAGACCTATGTATGTATGTAATTATTGCAAAAAAGAATCCAAAGTTTTCATAGCTGGGAAGAAGGCAGTGCCATTATGTGGGCTCACAGTTAGATAGTTACTATTGTAGGAAGCAGGATACTAGTTTCTTGTTTGATCTTGCATACATTTCCACATCAGCCTGCCCTCTCAGAGATGAGCCAAGAACAGATTCTCCTAGACTAACATGTTTTTTGCATCTGCTGAACTTTCACTTTCTGAAGAATTAGCAAATGAAGTATCTCGTATCAAAGACAATTCCTGCTATGTTCATATGCTTGTTCCCCCATTTGTTTCAGAAAAGGATCCCTATGAACCAGAGGTGGCCAACTTTCATCCAACTTAATATGATTTGGAAGAATAAGAACAGCAGTGGGTGGAAAGAGATTTTCCAGATTTCTGAAATCAGCAAAGATCCTGAATCCTATATAAGGCAGGAAATTTAACCTTATCTTTATAAATAGAGCCCCTGTGGCTAATCATTTATTCAGACTACTGCATTAGCTTTTCTGATCTGAATTTTTGGATTCATTTGAACTATATTTGAAGCCAGATTAGATTTATAGTGTCATACAATTCCTATATGTGCTATCACCATTCATTATGTAATCACAACTGTGAAATAATGCTAGATAAGCAACATACAGTATATCCAAAGATGTTTAGCCATCTAAGTACAGTTCTGATACATATTTAACATGAAGTTGGTGTCTTTTTATTGACATAATGAATCTTCCTACATGCTGAAAATTGCCACCCCAAGTAAGCATTATCTCAAATTCAGGATTGCATTGCTGACTTATTCTCACCATTCTTACCAGGCTATAATTGGTTTCTTATTTAGCATTTGGTGTTTTGCTAAGGTTTGTTTCTAAGGTTTTACGTTTACATTTGTTTCTAAGGTTTTACCCTTCCCCACTTCCCATCAAAAGAGGAAGCTCTTCACTTATTTTTCCAGGTTTCCGCATGATTATCCCTGCTATCACTGCTAGGTGGCAGCAACTAACCAAAATTAGCAGATCTTCAAATGCATATCTAGTTAATAATTGGATGGGAGACTAACAGGAAATCTCGGAGCTGGGATTTTTTTTTTTTTAGGAGGCAATAAGAAACCACTTCCATGAAATTGCTAAGAAAACTATATGGGTTTATCCCATAGAATCACCAGGAGTCAAATGGCAGGTACAATGCCCAATTTCTATTTCAGGTTGCAAATTAAATGCTGCATATTCAAATGTTGGTTAATGAAATTTGGCATATTTGTAATGTCAATCTATTTCATCTGATATGCCACTGTTATTTTTCAAGTTTATGATTTATTGTACTTGGAGCATAAAGTGATAACCGTAAGCCAAAGTAATTATTTTATAGTCAAATGAAGTCTAGAATAAGGGCAGCAATCTTTTTGAACTCTGCCCTTTCTTAAGTACTCACCTTTTTTTCCAGTTCTTTAACTATCTCAGCCATTTTCTGATTTTCCTTTTCCTGCAATTTAGCAAAGAAATGAAACAATCTAATCCCTCTGCTCAGATTTTTTTTGTTGAACAATTTTAGTTTTGTATTTTTTTTATTATCAGCACTATTAACACTTAAAAATCATACTCTGTCGCACTTTAGAATATTCAGCATGCTTTATGCAATTTATGTACAGTAAATCAGTATTATTATTATTATTGTTATTCCTATCCTGTAGACATGGGGACTGCAGCTAAGATTGCCACTAGAGTGGGGAGGCAAGGAATGTTGTGGGTCCCATCCTCCTAGAGAGATAAACCTAGTGGGACCCAGAAGAAGGGCCTTCTCTGTGGTGGCTCCCCTCTCTCTGCAACATCATTCCCCCAGAGATTAGACTATCCCTGACTCTAACATGCTTTAGGAAGGCGCTGAAGACCTGGTTCTGCCAGTGGGCCTGGGGAAGAGTGGGATGGAGCTAGTGGTGAAATCTGAACCAGTTTACTACCAGTTCGCTGGCTGCGCATGCACAGTGCATACCATGCACCAAATGCGAGGTGCACGCGTGCAGTGCACGCCAAAAGGAGGCATGCAGTAAGTAGAACAGTGTGTATGTGTGTGGGGGGTGATCAGCTGTGGCGTGCAATCTTTTTTTTTTCTTTTAAAAGCATTGTTTTTAAAAGTAAAAAAAAAAGCCTCTGACCATCACGCTGCTCAGCTGGGATCATTAGAGGCTTTTTTTTTTATCTTTTAAAAGCATTTTTTCTACAACTTCTTTGGCCAAAGAGGTTGTTTAAAAAATGCTTTTAAAAGCCTCTGATGATCAGGCAACTTAGCTGGGATCATCAGAGCCTTTTAAAAGCATTTTTTGTACAACCTTTTTGGCCGAAGACGTTGTAGAAAAAATGCTTTTAAAAGTAAAAAAAACAAAACCCTCTGATGATCGCACGGCTTAGCTGGGCATGGGGTGGGGGGAGGAGGGCAGGGATTTTTGCTACTGGTTCTCCGAACCACCCGCTGCCATCACTACCAGATTGGGCGATCCGGTCCGAACCGGGAGCATTTCACCACTGGATGGAGCCCATTAAATGGCTTGTGTGATGTGTTGTTGCCAGGGTGGGGGGCTATTATTTTATTATTTTCTTTTATTAGTTTTAATTTTTATATTTGATGTTTTTATGTTCGTGTAAGCCTCCTTGAGTCACCATGCGTGAATAGGTGGCAATATAAATTTTCTAAAATAAAAAAAATAAATTAAATTAATGAATTCAAACTTTTATTAAACTTAGCGCTATTTTCTTTATCTGAATGGCCTTAGTCTGAAATTCTCAAAAAGAGTAGAGTTTTTTAAAGAATCCAATTTCTATTGCATTTGCCATAGCAATCATATACAAAAGGCAGGTTTGGGATTCTCATCAGGAAGATGGCATGACGAATGAGAAAGAAGTATCAAAACTCTTGTCCAAAACATTTAGAGAGCACCAGAATGCCTGTCTTTAAAGATACTGTTTTTATTTATTAAAAATGTTACATATCAGATAGAATCATGAGTAACCACATACTGGCATGAATACTTTTCTAGATGTGATCAATTCACTCAACGGTATTTTTAAAAGTTGTTGAATGCCTAAATGTGAAGGAGAAGGTGTATCATTGGCTATCAGAAATGAAGACTAAAAACAGAACATTGAAATAGCAATTACAAAAATTACCAAAAAAACCACACCCTTTATTGGTTCCTGTCAGTTTAAAGAGCCCAACTTCTTCCTCCCAGAATACAAATTGGCCAAGGTTTCTAGAAAACCATGTCATATAACCAATTCTCTTATCTCCACCCTGAGGGGTAAATACAATAGGATAAAGGAGGAAGGAGGGGAAGCTGAGGACAATGAGGAGAGAATGCAGAGCTCTTAAATTAGTCCCCTGAGGGGCTCACTTGCTTGTGGATATGCAGCTGGCGTTGACGGCTTCGGTTCTGATATTCCTGCAGAACTCCCTGGATTTCTTCCAGCTCCTCTTGCAATGCTCGAGTTTTCTTCTCCAGGGGCTTAAGACTGCAAAGGACAAAAGGGAAGGTATCCTCACCATCTCCTATGCCAAAAATTTAATCCCAGACGCACCTTACTCAGAAGAATCCTGACCTTGCTTCAAATTTGTGTCCCTTCCATTTACAGTTGTCAATACATTGAGCTGAGCCTAACAGCTAACCTTTGCAAATCCTTGCAATATTTTTCGGTTAGAAAATAAAGAAAAACCTCTACAAAAACTGCTTTCAATTTAGCCATAACAGATCTTCTAGTCTAACTGTTGCTCAAACTGGAGACCTATTCTATTCCAGATATGTAAGTGGCTGTCCAGTCTCTCTTTGAAAGCTTCCAGTGATGGAGCACCCACAACTAGGCAAGCTTGGTTAATTGTTCTGTTAGGAAATTTCTCCTTAGTTCTAGATTGTTCCTCTCCTTGATTAATTTCCATCCATTGTTTCTTGTCTTGCCTTCTGGTGCTTTGGAAAATGGATTGACCCTCTCTTTTTATGTTGCAGCCCCTCGAATATTGAAACACTGCTATCATGTCCTAGTTCTTTTCACAAGACTAGACATATCCAATTCCTGCAACCGTTCTTTATATGTTTTAGCCTCCAGCCCCCTAATCATCTTTGTTCCTCTTTTCTATATTCTTTCCAGAGTCTTTATATCTTTTTTATAATATGGTGAACAAAACTCGATGCAGTGTTCTAAGTGTGGTCTTACTAAGGCTTTATAAAGCGGAACTAATACTTCATGTGATCTTGATCCTATCCCCCCGTTAATACAACCTAGGATTGCATTGGCTTTTTTGACTGCTGCTGCACATTGTTGGCTCATTTTTAAGTGATTGTCCACCTGGACTCCAAGATCCCTCTCAGAGTTACTGGCATTGAGCCACATTTCACCTAATCTATTTTTCTTGCCTAAATGTAAAACCTTACTTTTCTCTACATTTAACAAAGGATTCCTGATTGTTGACTAAATAGAAAAATGTCAGGCTGAATTATGAATAAATAATTTTCAAGGGTGCCCATTTTCTCTCCAGCTTTTTGAGGGATCAGCAATTGCCAGAAAAAATTGGGGAGAAACCCCATGACAGCCTCTCACCTCTTGGTCTGTAGCAAGGTACAGAGCTGGGTCTGATGTCTTAACAGTGCCTCATATTCCTTCTGCCAGATTTCACCATGGGCAAGTTCTTCATGGATCCATTCCTGTAGCCAAGCATTCTCATCTTCAAAGTTCCTGAGTTTGTAGGGGAGAAAGTTGATGAGAGGTGAATGTGGGACATTCTGGTAAATCTGAGAGGTTGCAGAAATGATACTTCCTTTCCAACTGATAAATGTGAAAAACAAGAACTAGATGTTCCTCCAAAATTGATGAAAATACAACAAGAAAATAAGAATTGCTGCTAAGAGTCCTCCAGCAATATTAAAGGAGCTGTAGGAATGTTTGGCAAGTACTGGCTATGTACTATACAGGCAGTGGTGGGATTCAATTTTTTTAACAACCGGTTCTGTGGGCATGGCTTAGTTGGGGGTGTGGCTTGGTGGTCATGTGACCGGGTGGGTGTGGCTAGCTGGTCATGTGACCGGGTGGGTGTGGCTAGCTGGTCATGTGACCGGTAGGCATGGCTATCTGCATAGGGACTACAGAGGGCTGAAAAAAGTCATTTCTGACTGGTCCTCGTACTTTTGACCGGTCCTTGCACTTATGACCATCCTCACATTTATACCCGTTGCGGCATTTCACTCATTTCACAACTGCTTCTCTTCATCATGGTGACAAGATAGGGCAAAAACATAAAATGTGAGGACAGTCGTAAGTTCGAGGACTGGTCAAAAGTGTGAGGACCAGTCAAAAATAACCTTTTCAGCCCTCTGAGTAGTCCATATGCACAAAAGGACTACCCAGAGGGCTGAAAAAAGTGATTTCTGACTGGTCCTCGCACTTTTGACCGGTCTTCGCACTTATGACTGGTCATCATTTATGCCCATTGTAGCATTCTTAACAACCGTGTCACTCATTTCACAACTGCTTCTCTTCACCATGGTGACAAGATAGGGCAAAAACATAAAATGTGAGGACAGTCGTAAGTTCGAGGACTGGTCAAAAGTGTGAGGACCAGTCAAAAATAACTTTTTCAGCCCTCTGAGTAGTCCATATGCATAAAAGGATACAGCAATAGAGAGGGATGAATGAAGGGAAGGAAAATTAGAGTAGGAGTGAGGGTAAGAGAGGGAGGAAGAGAGGAGGAGAAGGAGAAAGGAACAGGAAGTAAGGAGGAGAAGAAGGGGGGGAAGAGAAAGTAAGAAGGAAAGAAAAGAGAGAGGTGGTAGGTTTGAGGAGAAAGATTGCTGTACAATAAAAAAGATGAAAGGGAAGAAAGCCAACCCCAAACAAATATAAAGATATTAAGATAAAGAATGAATTGTTAAATTTTAAAGAATAAAAGAGAACAAATATGAATAAATAACAATAATTAGAAACATACATACAAACATACAATGTATTTTCTTTGAACAGAGTATTTGGCGGGTTCACAAATTTAAACAGTGTTTAGTCATTTCAGTTAAATTTACAGTTTCTCTATTTCCTTTTTGCCATATTTATTCCTCATCTATTTTTTAAAAAAAAACAATATTACCCTTCATCCTTATCTCTTATCTTAATCAAATTCAATTTTTCCCTTCTATTCTATATTATACCCCTTCCCATTGTCATCTATTTTTATATCCATCCTCACATTGGTTAATTATGTAATTATGTAATACAGTTGTTTAATACAAATTCAACATTTTAATATAAATCAATTAGTTATATAACTATCTTTTTTGTATATTAATCAATATGAACATGAATATTCCAATTATTTCCATGCAATCCAATTCCTTACAAATTAATTAATTATATTTACCAATAATAATAAACCAAATAATTTCCCCCATATATTCCTCCAAACCACAACTTAACCATTTCTGCTTTCAACACAATATACAATTAATAGTATTTCAATTATTACAATTCCCTAGTTAAATAGAGCTTTTTTTCTTTTGTGTTTTAAAATCTTGAACCTCCTCTTTTGCCCTAAATTTCCCATTGTTTGTAGTTTTGCACCTACCTTTTTTGGTGAGGAAAAAGAAAAAGAAATCTCTCTCTGCCTCATTTTGTCACGTTGCAGCAAAGACCCTGCTTGACTTTCGCTTTCGCTTTTTCAGCATAGCTAGGGGAAAAAATATCTGCTCCAGCTCTCTTTGCAGCTAGCAACAGAGAACAGACTCCTGCGCAAAACAGCTGAGAGCAAATCAGCTGAGAGTCGGGAGGCCGATCTAATCAACTTGTGGTAATTAACCTATGCTGAAGCTGAAGGGGGCTGTTTTTTCTATTTTTGCAGGCACCGGTCTACTCATTTGTTTTCTTTTAACACTGATCAGCTGTAGGGCGGCCCTTTGAAGCCCCGCGGCAAGAATTTAAACAGTTTTTTTCCCTCTAGCCATCAGCTGGGACTCAGGAGGCAGCAATAGATTGGGAGTGGGCGGGGTAAGCGAACAGCGAACGGCGATCCGGCAGAGGGTGAGGGTGAGTGAAGGCATGGGGGGGGGCGAGAGAGGGCTTTGGTGACCCCTGTGAAATGGCCGTTCGACCCCCAAAGGGGTCGCGACCCCCAGGTTGAGAACCGCTGCCCTAGTTAAATAGAGCTTTTTTTCTTTTGTGTTTTAAAATCTTGAACTCTCCTCTTTTCCCCTAAATTTCCCATTGTTTGCACCTACCTTTTTTGGTGAGGAAAAAGAAAAGAAATCTGCCTAATTTTCCAACGTTGCAACAACAGCAAAGCCAACAGCCTGCTTTACTTTCTGTTTCGTTTTTCAGCATAGCTAGGGGAAAAAAAATCTGTTCCAGCACTCTTTGCAAGCAAGCAGCAGAGCCCTGAGCAAAACAGCTGAGAGCAAATCAGCTGAGAGTCGGGAGGCCGATCTAAGCAAGGGCTAATTAGCCTATGCTGAAGCTCCACAGGCCAATAAAATTACAAAAAAACACCAAACCCTTTGTTAAATTGCTGGTTTGCCCACCCCTCGCCCACCACTATTTATTGGCAATAAATAGTGGTGCGGAGGGGTGGGGCAAGGGGCGGGGCGAGCCAGCAATTTAACAAAGGGTTCGGCCGAACCCCCTAGAACCGGCAGAATCCCACCACTGTATACAGGACAACCATCTCCTATATTCTTCATATGTCTGGGCTATGGGGTAGGGTGACAAGATGGAAGCCTTTTCTTACAAAGAAAAACATCCAAGCCTGGCTACAATTTCCAAAACCTACATCAAGTCTAACAAAAGACTGTGGGAAAATGCGTTATGGTCTGATGAGACCAAGGTTGAACTTTTTGGCCATAATACCAAAAACTATGTTTGGTGCAACAGAATGCATCACCAAAAGTACTCCATACTCACAGGGAAGCATGGTGGCATTATTATGCTTTGGGGCTGCTTTTCTGAAATTGGAACTTGGGGCTTTAGTCAAGATAGAGGGAAATAAAGAGTTCCAAATATCAGCCAATTTTGCACAAAACTTTCAGGCCTCTGCGAAAATGCTGAAAATGAAGAATTTCTCCTTTCAAGATGACTATGACCCAAAGTATGCCTCCAAAGCAACAACAGAATAGCTTCACCAGAAGAAGATCAAAGTTTTGGAATGGCCCAGCTAAAGGCCAGACCTCAATCCAATTGAAAACCCCAGGTCATGGGGTGACCTGAAGAGGGCTGTGCACAGGAGATGCCCTCACAAACTAACAGATTTAGAGCACCTTTGCAAAGAAGAGGGGCAAAGATTCCCAAGGCAAGATGTGCCATGCTGATAGGCTCCTACTCCAAAAGTCTGGATGTTGTCATAAAATCAAAAGGTGCTTCCACAAAGTACTAGTTTAAGTTTGCATTATTGTAAGTTTTTTATTTTCATTTCCCCCCCTAAATGCCCTGGAAATTTTGTGTACCTTTCTCCTGACTGTTGCCTTCCAGCAATGAGATCCCTTTGATGCTTTGAAAGCTCTTAGCAGACCATGGCTTTTGCTGTAAGAAGCAACTGAGTAACTATCAGAAAAATCTTACTACAACAGCTGAACTTTATAGGTCTTGATCAGTCATTTTAATTGATGGCAGGTGTGCATTACTATTTAATATCAGTTTGAATGTGATTAATTCAATTTATTTATAAGAGGATGTGCACTCTTATGCAATGTTATTGTAAGATTGTTTTCATTTTCCCCCTTGTAGAGTTTACAGTATATGTTAAAGGAGGAAAAATTCTAAAGTGATTTATCTTAGTTTGATTTTTACATCTCAAAAACTTTCAATTTTAATAGAGGTATGTTCTTTTTATATCCACTGTACTTCCTAAAAGCTGAATTTGTTGCTTCCTTTCTTATATACTATGAGAATGTTCCTTCTCGTTCTGATTTAAACTTATTGCCAATCTTTTCTGTTGGCTAAAAATTCAAGGTTCTGTGTTTATCTAAGCATTTGTCTGTCTGTAACTTGTTAAATACATACTGTCTGCTCATTCAGGGAAACAGCTGGTTATAATTAAAACTGACCATATTCACTCAATTACAGAGGGTTTTTAAAAATTTGTTGTGTGAAGATGAAGCCAACATATTTTGCCCATGCATATTTAACATTTTCTTTAAGAGCCCTGGTGGTGCAGAGATTAGAATGCAGTATTGCAGGCTAACTCTACTCCCAGCCAGGAGTTCGATCCTGACTGGCTCAAGGTTGACTCAGCCTTCCATCCTTCTGAGGTCAGTAAAATGAGGACCCAGATTGTTGGGGGCAATATGCTGACTCTGTAAACGGCTTAGAGAGTGTAGTAAAGCACTATATTCAGTATGCTAAAGATATCTGTTTTCCGTAACATATTTCCCATGGCCTGACCAAATCCCATATTTACAACTAGCTCTTGCTCACAATCAGGCTGCAAAGAAAAGTTGTTAAAACACACCCAGGACTTCTTTGCTTGAGTTTGCTGCTTCGACTCAGTGCCATATTCATGTTCCACAATGCCTTAGTTGGGCAATTTCTTTCTTAGAGAAAATCAATACATTTGCAAGCATGGATTGGAGACCCTGAAAAAGAAAAGATCAAACTATTCAAGCATTTAGAAATATTGAAGACACACTACATTAGAGGACACCCCAAAATTTCTGTGCATGTGATCCAATGCATACAAACATACAAAAATAACAAATGCAGTCTGGAAGAATTGGCCAGATATATGTCATATTTTCGTATGGTCAACTTGCATGTTTGTCTGTGCGTTGTGAAACTGAGGCCTTTACCTGGTACCTGCCACTCAGGGTCAGATTCATCAGGACATCCGTTAGTGACCAAATCAGCCAATCAAATATACCTTCTACCTAGGCCAGTTGCCATCACATAGGAATATGTTGCTTGGCAACCAACTGCCAAGCATTACCATTCTACCTTCCAATGCATCTCAAACATAAGGCATGCCCTAATCCCAGAGCCAATCCGTCCTGGCAATAGGTTTTTCATTGGCCCCATCTCACATCCAGCAGACCATGAGTGAAACAGTTTTAAATGCTTAAGTACACATATAGACAGGGTGAAACCAGGCTTAATAGCAATAACTGTGAGAGGGATCTTGGAGTCTTAGTGGACAACCAGCTAAATATGAGCCAGCAGTGTGCAGCAGCAGCCAAAAAAGCCAATGCAATCCTAAATTGCATTAACAGAGGGATACAATCAAGATCAAGTGAGGCACTAATACCACTCTATAGTAAGACCACACCATTGCATCCAATTTTGGTCACCACACTATTAAAAAGTTGTTGAGACTATACAAAAAATGCAGAAAAGAGCAACCAGGATGCAGAGGTGGGTTTCAGCAGGTTTTGACCAGTTCTGGAGAACCGGTAGCAGAAATTTTGAGTAGTTCGGAGAACTGGTAGTAAAAATTCTGACTGGCCCCGCCCCCATCTATTCTCTGCCTCCCAAGTCCCAGCTGATCAGGAGGAAATGGGGATTTTGCAGTAACTTTCCCCTGGATTGGGGAGGGAATGGAGATTTTACAGTATCCTTCCCCTGGAGTGGGGTGGGAATGGAGATTTTATAGTATCCTTCCCCTGCCACGCCCACCAAGCCATGCCACCAAGCCATGCCATGCCACGCCCACCAAGCCATGCCCACAGAACCAGTAGTAAAAAAAATTGAAACCCACCACTGCCAAGATGATTAGGGGACTGGAGACTAAAACATATGAAGAATGGTTACAGGAACTGGGCATGCCTAGTCTAATAAAGAGAAGGACCAGGGAGACAGGATAGCAGTCTTCCAATATTTGATGGGCTGCCACAGAGACGAGGGGGCCAAGCTATTTTCTAAAGTACCTGTAGGCCAGACAACAAATAATGGATGGAAACTGAACAAGGAAAGATTCAACCTAGAAATAAGAAATTTTCTGACAGTGAGAACAATCAACCAATGGAACAGAAGTTGCCTTCGGAAGTTGTGGGAGCTTCATCACTGGAGGCTTTCAGGAAGAGATTGGACTGCCATCTGTTAGAAATGGTGTAGGGTCTCCTGCTTGGGCGGGGGGGGGGGGGGGGGGGTTGGGCTACATGACCTACAAGGTCCCTTCCAATTCTTGTTAATTTGTAATTAAATCATTTTCAGTGCTTCAGTTAACATTCCCCTTTTAGCCCAGCAGTCTAAGGCAGGCAAAATCTATTAGGCTTTTTCACCTATTATCTTGGAGGGAATTCTGGAACTGTAGCAACAACTACTTTGTGGCATTTCTTCCTGAACTATGGGATAAGCAATTTCATATTGAAGTGAACCCCAATGACATGCCAAGGGACTCCAGGAATTTTTCCTTACCCCACCTCAAAACCCGGGTCCCATATGTGTTGACACCATCAGATCTCTCTTTAGGAGGGAAGATATAGATTAGTTGAGCCCCCTTATGGTATCCTGCATTGCAAAAACAAACCCAGAGTGAAAAGAAGTGGCAGAGTGCTTGCTCAAATGTCTGCGCTCCTATCTCACGGACCAGGGGTCCTCCCAAGAGTGAGACTATTAATGCTCATAACTACTGCGGAGGGTAAGAGAGGCAAGATGAGCCAGTATTTGGAGGTGTCCAAAAGTAATATTTCCATGATTATTGTTGTTGAGGAAACCAGTGACTCTGAAGTATTGGCTCAGCTGCAGCTTCTTCAAATTCATAGGAAAACCTGTTCCTTCTTAAAAAAAATAAAAAATAAAAAAGGCTGCAGCTTTTCTTTTGATGCAAAGAATAAGACTTTGTTGCTGTAGACCTGTGGCAGCTCAGAACAGCTAGTAAGTTTTGTTCCTTCTCAAAATGCCAAATTTACAAATGATGATCAGTCATCTTGGAGCTACATCTAAGCATTCAGATAACAGCTGAGATCTTTTGCATAGCAATTTCCCAAATGTGTCTTGCTTTTCACACCATATCAGCTGAACAGGATGAGCAACTATACATTGGCTGGATTCATGAAACACAACAGGCAATAGCACTTAGAAAGTGCTTTACAGCCCTCTTTAAGCGGTTTACAGAGTCAACATATTGCCCCCAACAATCCAGGTCCTCATTTTACCAACCTCAAAAAGATGGAAGGCTGAGTCAACCTTGAGAATGAGAATGGTTTATTATGCATGGTTTACTGAATAATATACATAATATACTAAGCCATGAGCCATGGAAGTCACACCTACTGGGTGGCATAATATTATGCCAGAAATATGTAACTCATATTTTGACTTAGCATTGTGAACCCACAATTAAAGTAATAGAACCAAGGCTCATTTGACATTGAGTAGTGGCTTTTTCAGCTGGTCTAATTTGCATTACACTCTTCAGCACACAACTGTAAAAAATGAGCTGTGTTCTCCTTTGCATCATAGTTGTTCACTTTGATAGATACAAAAACATAATAAAAAGGAATAACAATTTGATACATGCAGATGTGCCCATTTTCACTTATGAAACTGCCAGATACAATAAAGGAACTCCTTTGTACCCTTAATTTTTAGCCCAGGGGAAAAGGACTACTCCATCAGCTCCTTCAACATTTGATCCTAATAGAAGATAAAGATAAAACTCATTTCCAGGATCTGCCAATGATGGAAACTTCAATGCATTCGTTGTAATACTGCTAGCTATAGACCTAGCCCTTATCCCAATTTCATTTATTCAGAAAATATATCGAAGAATGCACTAGACCAATTGCTTTGGCTCCACTGCTGCCTTAGATCCCTTCCTCATATCTCTGGCATTAAACCGAAGTAGACCATACCTTCAGGAATGTTTTAGACTATGGAAAAAATGATTTCTTCTTACTGCAAGGACAATGAAATACAAAAGGTTCTTATATATCCTACAGTAGATGACAATATCTTTGTGGTCTGGAATACTATTTAGTAGGAAGAAAAAGACATGCAAGTGCCCAATTTAGGTTTCAAAATATGATTATCATATAAATGAGTTTTTAGTAGCGATAGAATAATACAGCTGAGATTCCAAAATTCTTCCATCTGGGAGCCCAACCAGGTCTAGTCTCCATTACATTCTCTTGGCTTAATACTACCAGGGGCAGAGGCAGGTGTGACTTCTTTGTAGGAAATGGAAACATGCAGAGATACCCCCCTCATCCCATAATCACTATCCCACTATGATTCCCTTGTGAGTTAGACCATCCATTGCAGTCCAAAATGTTTATATTTGTCACACATGTCTCTTCAAATGCAGAGAGAGGTGATCCGAACGGGAGAAAGCACGCTGACAGAGGCGACACTTGAATGGACGCTGTCCTGTGTGTTTACGATAATGGCGAGTCAGCTCATCTGAACGGGCAAATTTCCAACCACATCCTTCCCAAGTGCAGTGATATGGTTTCTCTCCTGTAAAACAAATAGTACCACTATGTCCTTGTGCTACCACTGAACCCAAGGAGGGTTATTATTTTAAGTTACAGTTAACATCCATGCACAGAATTTTGAAGAAATAAGCAGCCCCAAATTACAGGATTTCCCACACCTCCCTCCCCAAGTCTCAGGGTAAGGGGGCCATCACATAATGCAACATCCAAACCTTCGATATTCTGCTGGGTCTGCTGAATATCGAAGGTTTGCATGTTGCATTATGTGGTGACCCCCTTAGAGGTAGACTCAACAGGTGAGCAATTTCTAAGGCCCCAGAGCAGAGGATAAAATGCCCCAAGATCCAACACCCAGCTGCACCCGGCCTCTATATCATTCTTTCTTACCTGTATGTGTGCGAAGATGAGCCTTGAGATGGGAGCTCTTGGTATATGTCTTCCCACAACTGGGATGACTGCACATGTGACTAGCAGGCCGCTTGTGGGGCCATTGTTTGTGTCCCTTCTTTGGCTTGGCTATAGCTTCTCTAATAGGTGAAGGTGGTTTCCTGAAACCAAGGAGTGGCAGAGCATGGAGAACAGAATCTGCCTGGTACATTTGAACTCGGGCTTGATATGGACTATGGGAGAAAGGATGGTAACCATTCAGCAGACTGCAGTGTGGCAGCTGGGAAGCCACTGCAGTTGATGGAAGCTGATTGTAAGAAGCATGTTTGCCTAGCAAGTGAGGACTTGGCTGTACAGGGGTTTCATAGGTTAAATGATAATATTGCCCATGAGATCTTTGTCTGGGCTCCCTGGGCTGTTGCCCTGCTGCGGCAAGAGCCACAGAATCTCCCTGGGCAAAGTGTGACAACTGATTGTTGGAAAATACTAGACCTTTATTGGGCTCTATTATATCCTGGAAATAACCGGGTAGAACCGGGGTACAGTTCACAGAGTTCTCTTTTAGCAAGAACGGGACTTCTGAGCTTGAAGGACCAGGAACTTCTGGAACCTTGAGGCTTCCTGGGAGCTTTTCTCTGACTTCCTCCTCAACTGACACTGTCTGAGAGATAGCAGACATCGAGATCTGGTCCTCTTGGTCAACTTGAGAAAGACCGGCATTTTGCCCAGAGGTAGAAAAATTTCTTATGAGAAAGTCGAGATCCCAATAGGCTTCCTCATGCTCCTGCTTGACTTGCTGGATCCCCTCAGGTTGGTTCGACTCCAAGAACTCCAGAGATGGAGTTTCAGGGCAGTCTTCGGTCTTCCACCACTAGAAAGCAAGTAAATTGCTCATGAAATAAATTGCGTTCCAGGTATGAAATGCAGGTAGAAGCTGGGGGGAGAAAAAAGCACTCTTGATAGACTTCTTGTAGTAAGTGCCTTTCACTATTTGAAAGACAAAAGTAGGTCACAAAAATTGTGATGGATGAGCTTCAGAAGCCAGGGCAGGCACAGGCTGGAGTTAAGGTGGAGATAAGAAGCCCACTATCACAGAGCTGCATAAGTTTCTGCCTTGCAGTTGGGAGAA